AAGGTTTATTATCACCAAGGGCTACTTCTCTTTCTCTAGAGTAAAACTACAAGCTGTCTCTTGCCATGCAGCCCTGATTCACTTCAAGGACTCACTCACCCAGAGAAGCATACTCTTATTAGCCCACATCAGTCCAACTAAAATGGATGGTGAGCGAATCTCTGTGGACGGCAGAACCAAGCACAGCACAAGGAGCCTCCTGGCTGAGCACGTCCACTATGCTGTCAGTTTCCAACAGTCTTGTCGAATTCACACTGCAGAAAGCTGAGAAGACCACTTGAAGTGCGGGGCCTAAAAAGGACACAGTCTCTAAACCATTTAGCTAGGGACAGACAATTTTTAATTTGCTCAAAACCAATTCCAATGGTGTATCTTCAGAGTGACGACGCCAGGCTAAGAGCTCGAACTAGGTGGGGAGGGGTGCTGCCTGGTTTGAGTTCCACCTCTGCCCTTCCCAGCTGCAAAACCCCAGTTGTCCTTTAACTAAGCCGTGGCAGTTTTCTAGTTTGCATGTTGGGAATAAGCCTCAGAACACCATCGTGAGGGTGAACTAGTCAGAGGCCTAGAAACTGGCAGCCCTTGAGTTGAGGGAGCTGATTATCCTCAGCATAATGCTTGTTACGAAAATTTCCATCATTATCTAATCATACTTAATTGACTTCATTAACAAAAGAAAACAGAGCGGGGGAGCTAGTCCACTTGCTTTGCCTGCTCAAGGCCCAACTGGCATTCCTGGGTTCAACCCTAGCACCTCTGCCAACAGCAGCACCCGCAGTCAAAAGCGAAAGCACTCGAGTTTGACTTGTATTATTTTATATTCTGGCATCATATACAGGTTTCCGTGTTCGGCAATGAAATGGAAGTACCACAATGGCTTAACGGTGTTCTTTCTCATGCTCATGTTTTTTGTTTTGTTTTCTAAATGCTATTTGACTCTGGGTCTGACTTTCTGCTTAGTTTTCTGAAAGGATTCATTGAAAACCCCACGTTGGCTGGGAGGCTGCTGCCACTCACCTTCCCAACAGTCAATGTGGGAGATGACAGTGAGTGGCATCCATCGGGTTTCAGTTTGCCAATACACAAGCGCCTCATTGTACGGCAAAGGGCAAAGGCTCTCAGTGATCTAAAGGCGCTCTGTTCTTGCTCCTGGAGTTCGCGTCTCTTTTTAGCTCACCTGTATTACATTTCCTCCCTCCACAACAACACCTCCCAAATTATGGTGACTCTCCAAACGAGTCCCAGTTACTAATTTTTAAACATAATACTGCACAGCTGAGTTAGTCTTCTGTCTTATTTCAGCTAGCCAGAACAAACACCTCAGACTGGCTGACCCAAGCAACAGGAATTTATTGTCTCTTTTCTAGCAGCTGAGGCACCCCCAAGACCAAGTTCTCAGCTAAACTGATTCCAGCAAGAGTCTCTTCGTGGATACAAGATGGCCCCTTTTTCAAGTACCTCACAAGGCTCCTGTATTTCTTCTTCCTGTATGTCAGAGTTTGAACTAGGGTCTCATCTTTCTGACTTCACTTAGCTGTGAGATTCCTCACAGACCCTAGCCCCATTCCACATTTGAATCTGCGGGGAGGCAAGCATTCAGCCCACAGGAGTTCTTCTAACCATACAAAAACAAAACCTTTAATTCAAACCCACAATAGTTATAGCTACATTCCATCTTTTTCTATTCATATGTAGAAAACTGCCAAGTAATGGAGCACATGCCTGTACCATAAGTATTCAAGGTAAAGGCAGGAGAATTGCTGCAAGTTCAGGGACAGCCTGAGATACACGGCAAGTTCCAGATCAGCCAGGGAAAGAGAGTCTCAAACCTTGTCTCAAAAAGAAGTGTGTGGCCTGAACAAGATGACCCGTGGGAGTTCTGAGCAGGAAAATTCACTGTTTTGAGTAACTCACGGATTTGTCAATCATTTTTAGAAAATAACATTGGTGCTATTACAAATTATTCATATAATTAAAATCTTATCTCAAAAACAGAATTAAGTTGAATCTATGTTTCTAATACTTGGGGAAATGGATTTCTACTATATCTGTTCAACTATATTGACTACAGGATGTGAATATATTTACTTCTTTTCAAAATATTACATATTAAAAATAAATTTTGATTTTTGAATGAAACTGAAATTGTTTAAAATTCAATTTTAGTGAATATTCAAATAGGGCATGGTCTCTGGTAACAGAACAATTCTATACATCTTCTTTTTAACGTATTCTTAAACCTTTATCTTATTTAGTAAATATGCTAGCAAATCTCCCTCTCAGTATATATTATAATTTTAAATATTGTATAAACTCTTAAATTATAGCACTTTACATCACTGAAGTTGGCTTTGTAAAAACCTACCCCTCAATAAAAAAATTTCTGAATTAAATAAAAAAGAGAGAGAGAAGTGTGTGTGTGTGTGTGTGTGTGTGTGTGTACACTTAGTTTTTTAACTCTCACAAGCTCACCTGGGTTCAATTCCCAACACCCACATCAAATAAAAATAAATAAATCTTTAGACTAACAGGTCCACATTTCTCTTAGGACACAATATACATAACACATGGTAGACTTTGAAAAAGACTGATCCGTTCCAAAAAGAATTCCATCTGTTTAAGTAGACCCCAGTGGGAAGCTGACTTCCAGAAGGCGTGTGTAAGTATGCAAGCAGCCAAGCCTCCCATAATCACCCCAGTAGCAGCCATTCCTCAGAAAAGTGGGCAAGTTCCAGATCATCCCTAGAAAAACAAGCCTGCAAAAGATGTTGGAGCCTAAGATTTTGAAACCCTTATACTTGACGACCGTCCATGCCAAGGGAGGGGAAACGCATTCCAAGCCTGGCAGCTCAGGGGTGCCAGAATGAAACCAGAACACAGGGCCCCTAACTACAGGCCAGGGAGCCAGCAACCACAGCTCCACATGGCACCAAGTCCCAGGTGCTCCAAACATCAAAGCAGGAAGCACTCTCCAACTCCTGGCAAAGACCAGGAGCCCCATCAGGCAGCAGCAAGAAGGACCAGAACTCAGCCCTCCCTACTGGAGACTCCCAGTGGTGACAATATAGAAATCAAGGACCACTGCTTCCCTCCCCTCCCTGGCACACTTTAGCTTCTCTACCCCCCCCCCCAATGATGGCTACTTGGTGGGGACACGTTTCTCCACTCATTCATTTCTCCCTGGAGACGGAAATGAATGGAAATCCCTCTTCTCCCACATCATCTGGCGTCGGCTCCTCCATCCTCCTCCATCCTCATGGCCTTGGCAGTAGCCAAGAATCTGAACAGCACATGTTCAAGCATAGCAGGCGTCTCGCACCAGCAGCTTTGAGAGAGAACGGGCGAATCGATCGTAAAAAGCTAAGTTGCAGTGCCGTAAAGCGGTCCTCCGGGATCCGGCCGGCTTTATAGGTTCTGTAAAGCCGTCTCACATGTGGGAACACATCACTTTAGAGGCACATTTTTTAACATTCACTAGCAGTCACAATTTTTACGAGGGATCTACCTGGCACGCCTTTAATTTGCTCAAGGTTGTACCTACAGAAATGAGGGGTGTTCCCTACGGAACGCTCTCAGCCTGCTGGGGTGACTAAGCAGGCTTTTCTTCTTAGTCTCGGAAAGGGATGAATTTTGCACTTGCTGTCCCGGCTCACAAGGCAGAGCGATCTGAACATCTGCCAGGTTTAGTAAGGCCCTTAGTAGCCATTCTCGATACTATCAAATTTCAGACTAATCCGACTAGAGCTAGAACTTCGAAAAGACAGGCCAAGGTAAACTAAAGTTCACGTCAGGAAAGTTTAACTTCGTAGTTGCTCTCCTAGCTCTGTATTGTCTCTCAGCAAAATTGGAGGCGGGGATCTCTTCATAGGTGATGGGGGCATGTTATGAACACTCAAAAATCCTTACTGCACATTAAGTACATAGCCATTTACTAAAGTTTTGTTACATTTATTTAATGTGTGTGAGAGGAAGAGAATACACATGCCGGCGTGCATGCGTGGAGGTCAGAGGACAACCTGTGGGAGTTGGTTCTCCTTCTACTCTGGGGGACCATCAGATCAAACTCGGGCCAGAGTTGGAAGCCAGAACCCTGAGTCATCTTACAAGCTTGCTCCCCCCACCCCCAGTTTTGTTTTTGTTTTGTTTTGTTTTTTGAGACAAAGTATACATACATATACATATACATACATACATACATATACATCATTCCAGGAGGGGCTTGAACTTGCAATCCTTCTGCCTTGGCCTTCTAAGTAACAGGATTATACAGGTGCGCCACTACACTCAGGTTTTTTTTTTAATTTTAATAAAATAATTCATATGTTCCTGTTTGCTTCCTGCAGCTGCGGTAAACACCACTACTGAAAGTAACTTGAGGAGGAAACAATATTTCCTCTTAAACTTCCAGGTCAGTCCAACTGAGGGAAGTCAGGGCAAGAACTTGAGGCAGGAATGAAAGCAGAGCCCATGGAGGAGTGCTGCTTGCTGGTTTGTTCCCAGGTTTCAAGCTACCTTTCTTCTGCATCCCGGGCCCGCCTGCCTCAGGATGCCCACAGCGTCCTGGTTCCTCCTACATCAAAAATTAGCAACCAAGAAAACACACCATAGACGTGCCCTCGAGCCAATCTGATGGAAGCAATTTCTTAATTGAGGCTCCTTCTTCCCAGGCGTGTCAAATTGACAACCGAGATTATCGCAATATTTACAACAGCTCGCCAATGGCACAGTTACACACCCATGCTTCAGATAGCCTGGAAGTTTATGCGCATCAGCTACTCCCCAAAGCAGATTTGCGCTGCTCAAAGGTGGGGCGCTGTGTTGCCTCTCTCTCTCTCCATCTTTCCTGAGCAGGCTTTTGGACCACAAAAAGCTAGCTGCCTCAGTGACATAGTGCATTCGTTCTAAAACCAGATGGTCTTTCTGCTTTCTGCCAAGCCCGGTTTTAGACACAAATAATTGATAAAGGGCCGCATAAAGAGTATAGTTGAGTCTGTTTTTCTTACCAGAGCTGGACACACGCCTGATTCTCTGAGGCGATAAGGCCCTGTCGGAGCCTAGGATTCTGCTGTCATTCTTCCTCCTCAGGCAGGAGACAGCCGGCCCCACTTTGGCTTTGAGACCTGTTGCTTTCCTCAGGCTGCAGGGGTCGGGCTTGGAAATGTTTCTTCCTAGGGTGGTGGCTGTTTTGGGTGCAGAATCCTGTGAGAAAACCAGAAGATTTCAGTCTCGTGCTTTACCCATCTCTGTGGTGTCCACTTTGTGACAGAAACCTTCCGTCTCGGTGGCTGTGCCAGAGAAGTAATTAATTACCGTTTTTACTATGAATGGCTGACTTTAATTTGTCCTGATCTATCCACAGGCACATTAGTAGAACTGATCTCCAAGGCCTGGGGTTGACTTCAGCAACACTGTTCAGTCCTCTTGGTAGCGAGTACTCAGTTCCCCCTAGCTGCCTGCCTATTCTTGTTCTGGTACCTTTCAAGGCCAGGCTTCACTGGGGCTGCAGCTTGGGTTTGTTCCCTTCTCTCCCCATGGACTCATCCTATATAGCTTGTCTGCTGTTCAACTGTGACTGATGCACTTTCCCAGCCAACGCTTTCCCCTCCTGCTGCCCCTGTATTTAATTTCTGTCTGTGTCTCCCCACTGAGATTTTTCTACTCAGTAAGAACAACAACGATTCTATTATTGTTGGCGTTCACTAACACAGAGCCCTTACACTATCCAGAATACCATTCTTATTTTTTAATTTTTAGCTCGCTTACAGAATAGTGAGTTTTATGGCATACATAACATGGCAGTTTCCACAGTTACATCCTATCCACATTTTACTGGAGCTATTCCTTATCTTCTCAACCTCTTCCTCCTCCAAAATTTGCTTTCTACTTCATGTCACACGTATGTGCATATGTGTGTATACACCTACACATACATACTTAATCTAGCACATAGGCAAAATGTGATTTTTTGTCATTGGTCATCCTTTAATTCCAATTTTTAGTCCTCTTCTTTGTCATAGTCTATTTTCAAGGTGTGCATGCATTTGCATGTACACACACATATGTACTACATGGGACAGACAAATTCTTTGTCTGAAAGAAACCATGTTGTGTCTCCGAGTCTGACTTGTTTAACCCAACAGGATGATTTCTGTTCTCCAATAGGTGACAATTTCACTCATTTTTATAGATGAATAGGGTTTTGTTTACATATAATCTGCTCCTCTGCTGTCAGGCTTCTAGTCTTGCTCTGTGTCTGGCCACTGTGAATAGTGAAGCAGTTAGCGTGGATGCTTGGATGTCTCTGTGGTGAGGCTAACTTAGATTCCTTCAGGTGTAACTCCAGGTGAAGTATAGATAGTACGACGGCAGCTCTCCAGTCTAAATTCTAAACCCATTATCAACTAAAAACCCAGTAAGATTTATCTGTCATACCCTGTGGTAGTGTGAATGTAATTGGCCCCCATAGCTTGGTAGGGAGTAGTCTTGCTGAAGTAGACTTGGCCTTGTTGGGGGAAGTGTGTCACCGTGGGTGGACTTTGAGGTCTCCTATGCTCAAACTAGGCCTGGTTCAGTGCACTTCCTGTTGCCTGTGGATCAAGACGTAGGTCTTTTGGCTCCTTTTCTAGCACCATGTCTGCCTTCTCACCACCAGGACCTGACATGAGGATAATAGATAAATTTCTAATCTGTAAGTCACCCCAATTAAATGTTTTCCTTTATATGAATTATTGTGGTCGGGCGATGGTGGCGCATGCCTTTAATCCCAGCACTTGGGAGGCAGAGGCAGGTGGATCTCTGTGAGTTCGAGACCAGCCTGGTCTACAAGAGCTAGTTCCAGGACAGGCTCCAAAACCACAGAGAAACCCTGTCTCAAAAAACAAAACAAAACAAAAAAAAAGAATTATTGTGTATTGTGGTCATATTATCTCTTAATAGCAATAGAAACCCTAACTAAACCATACTCCATTTTAAGGAATAACATGAAACACTCAAAAATTAAATCAGTTTTACCTACGTCACAATTTATACCCCACCTGCTATTAACATATCCAGGTGCCCATCTTAAAGAAGCCGTGTTTGTCTTTGCTCCCTTTCTTACCTCTTAAATTCACTTTTTTACATGCCTTCATATAAAAGCCAGGCTCATTTCTCTAAAGGATTACTGAACTTATGTCCCCAGGACCATCTGGTCTCAACCTCTGCTGCTGCTTCTAGAACCCCCTTCTACAGAAACGTAGCTATAGTCTTTTTCTGTCCTGTGTGTCCACTCCCAAATTATGACATGGAGACTTATTAATTATGAAAGCTCAGCCTATAGCTTAGACTTGTTCCTAGCTAGCTCTTATAATTTAATTAGCCCATTTATATCAATCTATATGCCATCAAATGGCATTACCGCTCTTCCATCTTGCACCTCCTGTTTCCTCTCCACATCTCCTGGCATCTCCTGTGTACCTAGATTCTCCTGCTCTTCCTTTCTCTTCCTGGAAGTCCCGCCTATCCTCTCCTGCCTAATTATTGGCCATTCATCTCTCAGTTAAACCAATCAGAAAGCACTTTGTACAGATATTCTACCACACTCTTCTAAGGTCACATCAAATCATTCAGGATGTGGTAGCCCCTGCCATTGTCTTCCTTGCGTTTCCCACTCCCATCACAACCTCTACCTGGCCATCCCCTGCATCAAAATACCTTCCTATGGTTCTTTGTCTTTACACTTGGTGTTTTCCCTACCCTGAATGCAGGCCCTATACGTTATGGCAAGTGACCAAGTGGCATTTTCGTAAAAAGTTTCCCTTGATAATCTTCCTAATTGCCATCACCCATCTTCCTCTCCTGTAACACAGCAACCTGTTTACACTTGGAACTCAGAACTTAGGCTCTGGTGGCTTATTTTCTGACAGTCCCACTGGACTAGATAACACATTTGGACCAACGCTGTCTTTCTTTATATCCTTAACAAGGCTGCATATGTGGCATACACAGTAGGTGCCTAAGCAATGTTTCCACTGTAGAGATAAGGACACGGGAGATTTACTCCAAGTACAAATTCTAACACTATAAACTGCAATTTCCTTCTCCCTTTACATAGAGAAAAGCTGTGTCTCACAGAGGGGTCACTTTGCAGTGAATTATGGAGCCACAAATTTAAAATTATCCAAACCGCATGTTCTTAAGCTCAGGCTTGCATAATCCCTACCGTGACCCTCCTTTGTCTAATCACAGCTGATTATTTCCCACAGATATATAAAGTCCCACACTGATGGCTGTTGAATCCATACACTAGGCGAACTCAATACTAATTTAATAGCTATTGTCCCAAGTGAACTGCTGCAGGTCACATTGATCCTGGAGAGTGACACAGAATCCTCTACCCAGAGAAACTTTTACTTTAAGATTTTGTTATGTATCAAGTGTTCTGCCTGCATGTATTCCTGCATGCCAGAAGAGGGCACCAGATCCCATTACAGATGGTTGTTATCTGCCATGTGGGTGCTGGGAATTGAACTCAGCCTCTGGAAGAGCTCTCTCTCCAACCCGAGAAACTTTCTCTTATAAAGTAAAGGAAACTTCTCTTCAATGTATGGGAGTGAACCTTCCACGGATCATTTATTTTACTTTCAGAGCCCACATTCTGAAAAATTTTGAGGTTTTGTGAGGCATAGGAGACCTGAGTTTGAGCATCTGTTTCCTTCACAGTTGTGTGAGCTTGAAACACACCCTCTGAAGTATGACCATAGGTAACAACTGTCCTGCTGTTGCTGGAAAGAACAATGGGCATTACTGAGCATCGCTGGGACAATTAGACAACAGCCTATAAGAAAGGCACACGGGCCCATCTTTCCTTTATATAACAGCATGCTATCTTGAACACATAACCTCTGCAATGGGCAACCACTTATAACCCTCTATAGCGGTCTTAAATTACTTCTTCTAAATAAAAACCTTCCTAAAGTTTCAGGTAAACCCAGATCACCAAACAGCAGTAAGGTGGAAGGCAACCTTGAGTAAATTACGTTAGCTGGAGACTAAGACCAACAGACTGTATGCAAACACACACACACACACACACACACACACCATACCATCCTTCTACAGCAGGAACTGGGAACTGCTGAAGTGACTAACAAGATGAAACACCAGTACACGTGCTTAGCGGTCTACAATCAGCCACACCTGGAGCTGTGACAGTCAGTCTGACCTCCTCACACCCTCCCTTCCTAAGGCTAGAACTGTGTGGGGGTTGAATTAGACAAATCGGAGGACCCCACTCTATGTAAGACAGGGTCACAGAAGCATAATTCCTTATTCTGGAAGATAAGGAAAAGTGCCAGCGATGAGTCTGTGGGACAGTCCTTACAGCCTTATAAAGCATTTCACACCTAATCCTAAGGTCTCACTGCGACATTGCTAATGTGCAAACTACTGGAATCCGGCTTCCCTGATGATTCCATGGCCTTACCTCAACACCACATCATCGGCCTACAGCTACCAAAGTGGAAATATAAGGAAATAAAACCAAAATGCTCTGGTTTTAGAATGACATAAGCAATCTATATTCAAAGACCAATGTTCAGGAAACTTTATGCTAGTTTTTCTGGTACTGGGGGTCTACAAGTTAATAAATGTCTCTCATAAAGCTAAGCATACTAGTTCATAATCTTAGCATGCTAATCATGCTAATCTTAGCATTAAGGGTGTAAAGCAAGAAAAATCTCAAATTCAACACCAGCCTGTGCTACTACTGTGTGCTGAATTCAAAACCACACCGGCTGCCAGGTCGATACCTGAATTCTCCATAAATTAAAGACAAATATCTTGGTTCTTTTTTGTTTTTGTTTTTTTTGTTTGTTTGTTTTTGTTTTTCGAGACAGGGTTTCTCTGTGGCTTTGGAGCCTGTCCTGGAACTAGCTCTGTAGACCAGGCTGGTCTTGAACTCACAGAGATCTGCCTGCCTCCCGAGTGCTGGGATTAAAGGCGTGTGCCACCATTGCCCGGCTAAATATCTTGGTTCTTTGCATATCTATAAACACCTGTCTAAGCTGGGCAGTGGTGGCACACACCTTTAATCCCAGTACTCAGGGAGGCAGAGACAGGCAGATCTCTGTAGTTCGAAGCCAGCCTGGTCTACAGAGCTAGTTTGTGGGACAGCTAGAGCTGTTACAGAGAAACCCTGGCAGAAACACCTCTACACAATTTTGAGTTAATTTTAATTGGATAAAGTTCTAAACGATCTGAATTTCCTCAATTAGACATAAACAGAACTTAAAGGGTCTGTGTTCTGAAACAATACACAAACCCATTGGATTAGAGATCCCTGTGGCATTCCATCCTTACCAACAGAATTATTGATAGAAAGGCAAACCATCTGTAAACTGACCAGGTCAGGAGTATCTCCAGTTTATCATCTAGACATTTCCTGCATGACCTGCTAAGTGACCTGAAACAAAACGAACTCAGGTGCTTGATGGTGCTGTTCCATTCCTCCTACACAGGAGTCCCCAGTGATGTCTATCTTCCTCCTCTGCACACAGATCCATTCCTGATCCAGAGGACAAGTATTTCAAGGGCAGTCTGTGTGGGGCTGAAAATACACCTAAATCTCCACTGCCAAAAATAGACTGAGGGCACACAGTCCCAACAGCAGCCTGACATGTGCTTTGAAAACTAGTTTTATCATATCATCGTCAAAAAAAAAACTCATGCATATGTGTTTAAAGAAAAATAACCTTTGAACTGCGCACAATGCAGCACTGATTTCTTAAGTGATGCTGTTTAGTCCCCTTCATGGTTTGACAGGTGCCGTTGAAGACATTTTGCTTTATTTACTATGTATGGATTTGTTTCTTTCATGCATTAAAAATCCATGCAAAATGGGCTTCGGGGGACCTTACACACCCCTGCCCAAATCCTTTCCCTTCTGGCTGTGGCAAAGTTACCAGACCTGTGTCACACAGCCGGCTGCAGTAGACTCAAATCTGGGAGATTAGGCTCAGCTTCCAAAACTGCTTCTCCAACAAGACACCAGGGTCGGTTTTTATGTTGATATGTTCACCAGCACTCCATAGCCAATTCTTAAATGTGGTTTGCATGCTTACACCTCTTTTTCGCTTTTTGAAAATAAAATAAAATATAGCCTGATGTCAGCTGCTTCACTTCAAATACCTAATATAGCAAAACATCAACCTTTTCTTTGAAAACACTATCAAAAGGAAAGGCCATGTTCAAGAAAACACTAGAACTAAGTTTTTCACTAAGTAAGGTTGTTATATTTTGACCCATTAACTCTCTATACTGGATGACAGGACAAAGAATACATGGATATGAATCATGAGTCAAGCTCAGTGATATTATTATCAATTAATAGGCAACATACTGCTAATACACCAGCTTTCTTCATTCCTAGAAGCAGACAGAAGCAGAGAGTGGCGTCCACTCACCACAAACGGGGGCTTGCATTCTGAAGTCTCGTCGATGGTTGGCTTTCCCAGCTCTTGCTTTTCCGTCGGAGCCTCGCAGTCCTTTTCACTCTTTTCAGGGCTAATCCGATCGATGTGGGAAACAAGCGTTACTTCCAAACACTCTGAACTTTTCATTTTCCCTGGGAGAATGCCTTTGATCTTCTGGAAAAACGCAGCTACGGATCCAGTCTCGCTCGCTGCGTGAGAAGACGCTGAAGTCTTGTCAACATCCTCCCGGTTCGATTTCGCGGCAGATGTTGCTCTTGGAACCCTGAGCGAAGCGTTTTTAGAATGAGTTGAAACATGCACAGCCTGACTGGTAATGAGTTTATTAAACTGTTGCTTGTCTGTCTTGTTAATTAGGATCTCTGCCTTTTTGTCTGCATTCAAATCGGATCTCGGTTTTCTGTTCATAGCAGTCAACTGTTTAGAAGGCACTGGAGGGGCTGAGGAGACCCCAGCAATCTGAGGCTTGGGTGTACCGCTCATTGCAGAAGCATCTTTGGGTTGCAGCACTGATCTGGATATAACTTTGGCCTTAATGTTCTTGAAGTTTGGCCTTGGGTAACTTATAATTTCTGTTTTCCTAACTTTGCTACTTACGGTGGAATTCGTTTTGGTAGCCGATTTTCCCAGATTAGGCTTTGGCGCATTCACGGGTGTCCCTTTCAAGTTTGGCACGGTCTCAGCATCTCTTGGACTTTTCTCCAGGAGATTGCACCTCTCTGTCGCATCAACAGAGGAAAGCGTAAGGCTTACACTGGGGGTGTCCTGAACTGGTGTTGACGTGCAAACCGTATGCTTTGTGCTAATGGCTCTACCATTTCCATCCCAAGCCATCTCACACAGTGAAAACCTCTGCCCTGGAGCACTTCTTAGGGTCAGCTCTTCAGCACTCTTTTGGATTTCTGAGTTATTGTCATGAGAGGCAGAATGCAGGTTTTCCGTCGTAGTGACTTTGCACTCAGAGTCCAGGACGCTGGTTTTACTTTTATCAAAAGCTGGCACCAGTGAAGGGCATTCGTCATCAACGTGACGGTTGCACGGTGTTCCTCTCAGGCTTTGGCCCATTTCCTGTTGACCATATGAGCCGTGTGAATGAGTCTCACTGTTTGGTTCATCTTTAGATACACAATGGAACTCCTGTAATACAGACCCACTGGGAACCTCCATGCCATCAGAAACTGGTGTCACAGCTTGGATCTCTTTGTCTCCAACGAGTCCTTGCTCTGGCCCATCTGGGTACTCTTTGGTAACATTTCCTAAAGACTCCTGGCACGGAATTCCAATGTCTGCACCATCAGTTTGCATCGGCACATCAGAACATACCCTGCAGGTTGTGTTTAGAGCCTCTGGGGGCGGGGCTTGAAGCTTTTCAAAGCCCTCACTGTTATGAGTTCCTCTCACACGCATCTCAGAGGGCTGGGGTGATGTCCACATGGGGCAGGACAGCAGCGTGTTTCCACCCCCCACAGTCGTTGGCAGCAGACCTCCAGGAGCATGGAAAGGCTGACCCCGTTCAATAGAATGGCGTGCTATCATGGTGCAGTTAGTTGCATCCGATTTCATGTCAAATGTCTGTTTTAGCTCCAAAGGGGCAGTGGAGTCTGCACAGTCGAAACCATCATCAGATTTGCACACACCGGCCAGAGAGGGCTCAAACCTCTCTTCCTGGGGTGCCTCTAGGGAATCCAGCTTACTATGCAGGTTCGGGGGCGTCACCGTACTGAGTGCAGAGGACTGATGGGTAGGATCGCTATGCATTCCAAACCCGGGCTTACTAATGAAACCACTTGAAGGTTCTGGGTAATCAATTGCTTCTACACGCTGATGGCTTAAAGAAACACTTTCACTGCCGTCCACGGCCGGATCCATCTCATAGTCCACCACCATGTCATCTGGGTTAGCAGCGTTCCAATCCCCGGGACTCGCTGAAGGGCATTGTGTGTCATATTCAGGTGTGTTCCCGTTTTGATCCCTGACAAATACACAATACAACTCATCTTCTGTCTTGCCTGAATTATCATCATTCATCCTGAATATGAACTTTAAACCTCTGCCATTTTATATTCTCTTCGAATCCTTTGAAATTGTAAAGCGAATGGAAAATAATGGTCTCACTCCCTCCCTATCGCTTTCCAGCCCGGTTCCAGGATGGCAACCTTGGGAGTCTTTGAAGTTGAAATGACTTGTTGTTCCCTGAAAGAAAGAAAACATTTAATTCAAATAAATGTTAGAAAGATGTGCAGATCGTCCTTAGTTTAGATCACTGTCTTCACACCAGCAACCCGAGCTGTCCGTGTGGGGATTCATGCTATCACTGGCAAACCTACCATTCTCCTTCAAAGATAGTTCTGTGTGGGAAGGAATGGGGCATGATGACACGGAACATGGATAAGTCCTGTGACTGATGTCCCAGATGACATCTGCATTCCTGACTCTCAGAGACCCTCCACCAGGGGGAAGGAACTAAGGCTGAAACAGTCTTTCCTTCACGTTGGTTGACAGTGAAACCATTCATTCTCATTTCTCTTGGCAGTTCGGATTTATGTCCACTGTGCCAGCATAATTCATGAGTGTCCCTTCCATCATCAGAAGGACCCCTACTCTGCGTTACATACAGTGATTACCAAAGAAACCACCCAGGCCCCACAAATGAGTGAGAGATTCCAGGAATTTGCATCTCTTTTTCGGTTTCATTTCTATCTTAACCATGTACCTTTCTAGGGCCTGCAGGGGGTTGATGTTGAGAGTTGGACGTGGCCTCTGTTAGAACAAAGCCACTGTATGCTGAACAGTGTAATACTTTCAAATAAACTGATGATACACTGAAGTCAATCCTGTCCCTTAAGTACAACTGTTCTGGAGACCGAGTTTGGAGACAAGGTCTTTAAGGAGGTGAGAAAGGTTAAATGATCAGATAACAGGGGGAGAACTTCTCCACCAGAACGGCTACTCCTCTGATGCCAGAAGCCCCCACCCCACCCCACTCCACCCACCCCAGGACAGTAAAAACAAATGCACATGATGGTAACAGAAACATTATCTACAACAACTGAAGACTAAGGATGGGAAGGAACCCACGTCCGCCAACTGGTAAATAAAGTTTTCCAAACTTGCACATTTACACATCAGAATACTTCTTGAGTACAATAAAAATGTAAAGTTCCATTAGATACAGTGTCCCAATAGGAAAATGTTACACTAAGAGAAAGAAATCTGAAGGACTCGAAGACCTGTCATTACGATGCTTTAAAACGGCGGGGAAAACAGCTATTCTAGAGCCTCCTGTGAATTCTCCATAACTAACAGCTCTACAAATCTATACACAACAATGGTCTTGTTGAAGTGGTGATCCATACCTACAATCCCAGTACTTGGAAGGCTGAAACAAGTAGATTGCCACAAATTTGGAGATAGCTTGGGCTACACAGCAAGTCTGAGGCTAGCCAGAGCTAAATAGTGATACCCTGTTTCAGGGAGGGAGAGGAGGAAAGATGATTGCACCACTGAGGAAAGTCCACGCGGAGGGTTAAATAATTTGTCAGAGTTTGCCAGACTGGTGTGGGCAAGGCTAAGCACTGTTTTGTGCTTTAAAAAAAAAAAAAAAAAAAAAACCAAAAAACAAACTTCTGAGTTAAATAAATTATACCAAAAAAGACAAGGGACCAAGTATCATCAAAAGACACTTCTTGGAGCCTGAAGGTAATAAAGCAAAGTCTGCACAGTTCAGAAGGGAACACAGTCAGGCCACATGGCCAGTGCCTACTATCTAAGCTAGGGGAGAGTGAAGCATTGCTTGAGCCCAAAAGTTGAAGGCTAGTCTTGATAAAGAGACCCATTTCAAAACGATACATGATAGACACTAGATTAAATAGAAAGATGTGGTTGGTGTGAATAAAGAGATTTCTAGACAAATCAATGCCACACCTCACTTTCCATGTTGTCTCAGACAACTGAGAAATGAAGAATCAATTCACCACAATGAGGTGATCAATGTAGAAGTACCCTCAAACACAAGGAACCCAAAGAAATGCCAGAGTGACTACCAAGCTGCACAATAGCCCACAGACAACAGTCAAGAAGGTTCAGCAAGGAAATCTCCAGGGCAAAGGTATATGGAAAATTGTAACAAACTGGAAAATTGAATAGAAATCATGAACAGCCTTTGAAGAATGTAAGATTATTTCTGCAGGATATGTAAACAGAGCAGTAGTTAGTCTTAGGAAAAAGCAAACAGGTCGGACAGTGGTGGCACAAGCCTCTAAATCCCAACACTGGTGAGGCAGGGACAGGCGAGATCTCTGTGAGTTCAAGGCCAGATGTTACACTGAGAAACCCTATCTCCAAAAAGCAAACAGAGTGAATGAACAGCTGTGGAAGAAAACAGACTAGCCCATGAATGTTACCATCGGCAGATTAAAGCAAACAGTGGGCTATCACTGAAATGTTCCCAAGTTAAGGTCAAGCTTTCATAAATAATACTAAGTCTCCATATCATTATTGGGGAGTTGGAGCTCCCACAAAAGAAAAGTCTGAGTACATTTCAGAAAGCTTGCAACAGGCCAGCCTGGGCTACATTGTGAGACAGTCTCAAAAAGCAAAGCTCATCTCGAAGAAGAGATGAAAACATGATAATATGCACAGTGGTGGTCATGGGTAGAAATAAACACATTCTGTTTTTCGACACTGTGAAAACACAATACGCAGCAGAGAAAGGACAGAGAGTAACCAACTTCAAAGCTACTCTTGTGTAGAATTCTCTTAAAGACAAAGTGGTCCTTCTTCTCATCTGTGGATTCATTTACACGGCTTCAGTTACCCATGGGCAGCCTTGATCGAGAAAGCCTACATGGAAAAATCCCAGAAATGCACGATTCATAAGTGTTGGGTAACTTAACACAGTACATGGTTTCACCTGTTCTCTTCTGACCGTTGGGCTCTTACTCCACCTACCTGATAAAGTAGCCTTTACCCTAAGTTCCTATGTAGATGAAGTAAGTGACATCTAGACAGCTGGGAACCACTTGCAGGCTTCAGTTATGTCCCACAAGTCTTGGGATGCAGCCCTAACAGACAGATGGACAATCATCCTTATCTTCCTAAATTTTGTGCTTACGATAGAGAAGAGTTTTCTGTTCAACGGTGACACCAAGTCTTTACTCACTCCTGCTTTCTCTATTTAAAATTACCTTACCAAATGACACTCCCATTCATTTTCCTTAAACATTTTATTTTAGGGATATGTGGGAGGGTTATGTGTGGGTATACATATGCAAACCCATAAAGAAACAAAACCCAGGACTTACTCATGTTTGGCAAGCACTTTACGACTGAACTACACCCCAGCCAAGAAGTGACTTCTAAAAATATCAATCATTGATTGAAACATAGCTCAATATTTCAAAGCCACTGACCCTCAGGGCTAGAAAAGGAACTCAAAAGTGATCCATAGAATTCTAACACTAACCCAACAGATTCATGCTCTTTTCGTCCACAATAAAACAAATCTCTGTGCAGTTCAGGGAAAGTATGATGTTTCAGACATTTCTTACTTCTGTCTAGACATTCCCTGTGTAGAGTCATAAAACACACCAGTGACCTTTATATGTAAATTCCACTGAGATTCAAATACAGAAAACTGTCAAGTACATAGTGAAAAGATGCAAATAGTCATGCAGAAGTTTGCAGAGGTTTCCTGGATTGCTTAGGTTTGCGTAGGTTACCCAATCAGCCAGCAGAGCCCAGGGTCCACCTTTCTCATTCCTCCGTCATGCATGACCTTAATCATGCGTGATCTTGGCCCAAGTAGCACTATCCATGTTTCATGGGACAGGGTGACAGCAGGCACAAAAACTGCTTTCTGACCCCTGATCCTAACAGCAGTGGCCGACTATGCTTGCTGAGTAAGCAAACTGGGAAACAGCAATACTGGCTGGCTACACCTGGCAGGAAATTCTGCATAACCACACAGGAGGAGAAAATGGAAACTGAGGAGCCAACAGCCATCTCTTGGTGTTCCCTCAGGCCTAGGGCTCTGCACCCAGAGAGCATTGCTCCTTCACTCATAATTAAGGCTGGTGTGTCTGGCATTCCCCGATAGGTTTGAGTTTGCACACTGAGTCTACAGCTTGTGACACCATTTTGGGAGATTGTAAACTCTTCAATCCATTTTTTAAAATCTATCTATCTATCTATCTATCTATCTATCTATCTATCTATCTCCCTACCTACCTATCTATGTGTACAGTATTCTGCTTGCACATATGCCTGCAGGCCAGAAGAGGGCACCAGATCTCATTATGGTTGTGAGCCACCATTTGAACTCAGGACCTCTGGAAGAGCAGCCAGACAGTGTTCTTAACTGCTGAGCCATCTCTCCAGCCCCTTTCAGTGACTAATTAATGGTAGTTTTGCTTTTAGATCTTAGAACAAAATTTGTATTCAGTCAAAAAATGTAAAGAGATATGAGTTCTATTGTATCATAACACAATGAGTAACACTCTTTAAAGCATGTGTTTGATATCTGCCATGTGCTGGCCATGATTAGGTTCCAGAGAGGCTAGCACTGTGTTGGCAATAACTGAGGCTTATTATTATTGTTGTTGTTATTTTATGTGTGTTATAATATATAATATTATATGTTAAACAATTAGCTAAACTGCTTCGTAGTTAAACATCCACATGCCACAGGAGTAATGAAGAGACGGCATGAGGGGATGCCGAACTGCCAAAGTCAGGGGAAAGTGTAGAGGACTTTGTCCAGTGGAGGGCAGCCAGGCAGTGCAGGCAGAGGAATCGCACAGGAGAGGATCCAAAGTGCAGGGGAGGCTGGGATGTCTAGAGAAAAAAAGCTTCATGAGGCAGAGGCAGGAAAGGGGGTAGTCGTGGGGGCAGCTCAGGGTTCAGATTCTATTTATACGCTCCAAAGTTGGGAAGACAGACCCTGACACTCAGCTTGGCTGAGGTGTGGACCACGTTCTACTGGAGACAAGCGGCAAGCAGGAAACGGTCAGCATGGAGCCGAGCTGACAAAGCGCTGGAGAGAGAATGCAGACAAAAACCCAGACACGCTCACAGGGCATACCACTGTGTAATCTGCGCCACACAGATGAGAGCATGGCACACAAGTGCCCAGTAAATGTCTGTTCAATTAAACATTATTTTAAAGGATTACTTCACTTATATTAATATTTAAA